TCAGAGGCCTGTGTTGCATTTTCGGGCTCCACAAGTCGCAGTGAGGGGTCTGTGTTGCATTTCCGGCCTCCAAAATGAGGGGTCCACGGCGGATAGATGGGAAAGGTACCCAAAACCTGACACACGGCCACACCCTTTTTTTTTTTTTTCCAAAAAAAAACAGGAAATTGTGGCAAAGTCCAGTAATGGATTTTTTTTCTTCTTCACTTCTTCTTTATCAGGGGCCATGCTGAATTTCCCGAAATCAGGAGCGAAGTGTCGGACAATGGGCCTGTGTACCTTTTTCCATGTTCTACCAGAAGTTTCTTCCTCATTTTGCTCATTTGGAGAGCACTGCACTGAGCAAGGCCCAATATCCCGTCATATACATGAGGCTGGACATCCAACAGATCGTTCTATCGGGTGAAGTCCGTAGGGGTCTCTCTCCGCTACTGCCCACCATACAAAAAAAAATGACAGTCGGACTCCGCTCCACTGTCCATGTGAAAAACCTGCTCCGTCAGTACTCAGAAATCGGATGGATAATCTACTGTCCACGATTGTACGGTTCCAGCCTGCAAAATTCGTTACGAGGCCAGTTACTAGGCACACATTGATGGCTTCAAGGAACTCACGATGCGGAGCCGACCTTGGAGAGTGTAGTTGGAGTCCGGCCGGACAAAAAAAAAAAAAAAAAGGCTTTACTCCGGGTCGAATTGTGAGGTTCCCGGCCTCATCCCATTGATTTTTATTTTTATTTTTTAGGGGGAAATTTTCGAGATGCCCCTGAAATTTCCATTAATTTGCCGCGTGCCCCTCTGAACGCCGACTTACCCTGTCGTGCCCCTGGGGCCTCTGAAGTTTTCTGCAGGCCCCTGTCAGCATGGGGCACAACTTTCCGCTATGCCTTTACCGGACCGTGGATGGCGTTTCGTCGGTACCTGCTCGAAATACCCTCACAAGGGGCATGCATCTTTCTCTGACGCCCTTGCAGCAGGCCACCGAAAATGCTGCAGCAGTCAGTCTCTTCACGTTCGCTGGTCGTTGGAGTTGCTGCCGTGCAAAGGTGAGCGTGTGTGTGTGTGTGTGTGTGTGTGTGTGTGTGTGTGTGTGTGAGAGAGAGAGAGAGAGAGAGAGAGAGAGGGCGCGCAAATCGATCTTGCCACTGTGCAACATGAGATTGAATCTTGCCACCCTCTCGCCCAAGATTCGTTCTCATTTTGCAGTTTTGTGTCCACTGTGTGTGTGTGTGTGTGTGTGTGTGTGTGTGTGTGTGTGAGAGAGAGAGAGAGAGAGAGAGAGGCGCTGATCGATTTTGCTGCTG